CCCATTTTCCTAAACCGTCGTGAAAGGCAAATATTTCCATCGATGGTTCCGTATAAGGATTATAAGTAGGTTTGAAGCGAAGATTTGTAATACCTGAAATTACATAAGTTGATGAAATCTTCCAATTTAAAATTGAAATCACTTGATTATAACAAACATCTGTATAAATTTCGTCCATATGAGTGCGGAGTAAAGCTTACCACATTTCCGGAAAAATTCAGTGAAAAGGCCCATAACATGAGCAAGTGATAAATTTCTTTCCGCAATAACACCTTCGACCTAGAAAACAAAGAGCTCAAACAGATCATAAAATTAAAGTAGATGTAGAGTTAAGCAAAACAGAAAGCATGCTTAGTAACTGTATGTATTGCTCTTCTAAACAACCTGTAAAGAGGCACTATGCTAGAATAGAATTCGATGCTTAACAAACCTGATGGAATTCAGCCAGATGTGTTGCATCCAGTGTTTCATTTCGGAAAACCCGATCGATACTGAACATTTTTGTAGGTTTGAATCCCTAGAAAGATAAATTAAGGCGATAACTCTATCTGAAACTGACGAAAAATTCTTTGAATACGAAATTCAAAAATTCTTGGGTCAGATTACACTTTAAAAACACTTCATTCCATCTAATCTAAATTTATTCAAGTAACATTGTTATTCTAGAATTTAGTCCGTTATACAGTTTACTGAAATGCATGCAGAAATAAAAACCTCTTTAGCAAGCTTATATAACTGATGAGCACTAACTGCAGTTGTGTGTGTCCGTAGGACATTTTTTTGAGCTTCTTCCAACTTCCAATCATAGTTATAACTAGAATAAAATGCAAGAAATACCATTTTACCGATATGAACAAATAAAGTATTTCATTTTACTTTCACAGATATGACTGTAAAATTTAATGAAATCCCGGATCAATAAATATTTCATTTTTAAATTAAATTATACCAAGCCTTGTCGTTTTCATATTGCTAAACACTTTTTTCAAATTATAATTTCTATCAAATTTTTATAATTTTCAAGTCAATTCCTTCAATTGATACAGTTTACTTTAAGGGTTAATTACCAGAAAGGCCCGAGCTTCAAAATTCTCGAACCTTCGTAAGACTTACCCCTTCGAACCGTATCCACCTTCGGTATGAACATTTTTAACTCGTTGTAAATAGTCTTCAGGAAAACTGAAACTTTTTTCTGGGTCTGACAAAAAAAAGGTGTCATGAGCGTCACGTGCTGGATGTTGCTGTGGTTGAAACAGAGCATCGAAATTCCAGAAAGAAGATTCCACATATCTTAAAAAATTACAATTAATATATGAGTACGGATTTCTTTTACCAATCCATCGACAGGATAGGTCAACGAACAACTATTTTAAAATGAAAAGGAAAGTATAACAGAAAAACACTGTTAAAATTTAAATCCAATTTTCAATTAAACGAAGCAATACCTCACCTGTTAGTAGGCATTTCAACGAACCCCATTTGGAAAAAAATTTGTCGAAATTCATTCCTCACTTTCATAAGGGGATGCAAATGGCCACCGGTTGGCATCATGCCTAAGGCGTCAAAGTTATACTTTTTAAATATCTTCTTTCTCCATGAATTGCTAAAAAAAAAGCAGGTGTTTTCTATGAATATAAAGCCTGATAGCAGTGCGTTTTAGTTATGATAGATTAAGCTGTTGCTTCACAAACAAACTGATATAAATGTTTCATGGTCAAAGCTCCATTTACCTGTTAATCATGTCTGCCGTGAGGTCAACTTCGGGTTTACTTAAAACAGTTGAAAACGCTGAACCTTTTTTGACCAAATAACTTTTGATATTACTGAAAAAGTTGGTAATGATTTTAAATATGAAAAAAAAAAACCTTACCTCCAAGGTTTCTCTTTTGACTTGGAACAGAACTTAAATTTTAAATTCGATCACGCTGGATTCTCAAACCATTTATTCTTTTTTTGAACTTCATTATAATTGAGTCCTAGAACCAATTAAAAAACCAACATTTCTGTCACCAATTTCCTTTTCTTCAATTCATTCAGAGTTTTCACATCAAGTTTCTGCACATTCCCTTCCAAAATCAGCTTTAGTTGACTCTGCACTTTATCACTGATCGTATCGACTTTTCGTACAAGCCGTACTGTCCCACCTGTTTTATCAATTGCAACCCATCCAGAAGCTATTGCTTTACTTATTCCAACTTTGCCATACGGTAGCTTCTGTAAGCAAAGTAATTTTTAAAGCATAATAAGATTTCATTTAAATCACTAAGGACCTTGCAAAATGCAAAAAACACCTCATTCATCCGATATTTACTACCATTAATAACTTAAAATGTACTCCTTTAATCTCTCATTATAACATTTTACGAATGATTTCACGTAAAACTCTGGAAATTAAACGCAAAATTGAACAAAATAACAAAGTTGTACCATTAATTCCGCCTGATCAATACCACTAGGTCCAACAAACAGGAAAATTTTTGCTTCATGGGAACCATTTTTAACCATTTCATTTCCTTCATCTGTCAATTCGAAAGTTTTTGAAATTCGTTCTTCTGTTTCCACTAACTAAATGAAAGCAATTTTGAAGTGATCTATGAATACAAAGAGCTATAACAAATATCACTTCTCTTCCACTGAGTAAAAAATATGGCAAAACTGATACAGACGAAACAAAAAATAAACCAGAACACAAACCCCTTCAACTGCTTCTAAACTTTTCACAGCACCCACTACTTTCTGATGATCTTCTTTAGCAGCTGTGGCGTATTCGAAAGTCTCGAAATGCTGATGCTTTTCAAGATGATAGAGCAAATTTTGGGGTAAACTAGCATCACCCGTTTCTTCGATACCCGAAGGTGACATTCTGGTTTCACAAATAGCGTTCAGTGATGACGATTCAGGAATGTCAGACAGAAAGCTATAATGCATAACTAAAAAAAATATAAGAAATGCCACTGGATATGACACAGGCTAAATTTGTGCGCCAACTATTTTTGACTTCCAATTCAAAACTCAGGTAATGATATTTCTGACAATGGTTTGATGAACACGATGTGACATTTCTAACAATAACTTCTAAACACCAAAGACATTTCCGGAATTTACTTTCACTACTCTGCACTTTTTTATATAATTACGGCAGTTTTTTTATGTCAGGGTTTGTAATCTAGTTTTGGTATAGAAGAATACAAGACTCAAATCTAACGTTTTCAGAATTTTTAGATGATTCAACCAGCGATGAAAATGAGGATATTTGATAGGATTTATTGTGACTGAAGCAAATTTCTTGTATACAATCCAGTCACTATCACAAAGTGAGTACCTGAAATTTTTCTTTTTTGCAAATTATTTCAAAAAAGAAAATGAAAAAAAGAGTAAGGACTCACAATGGCTGACTTACGATGTGTAAACCAACATATTAATAAAACTAAAATAAAGGAAACGTAATTATGATTATAATTATGAGTCTGTCCTCCATTATATTTAGAAGTGATGAAAGTACGAATGTTATTTATTTATTTTTCTTTCTTTTTTTCTTTTTTTAATAATTTTTGAGAGAATTTTTGCACATGCTTGAATTAATCTAGATAAACCAAGTAAATTGGTTTCAACATACTCTCCGATGTAACTGAAATTTGCCAAATGATCGTTAAGCACTTGTGGATTCCATTTCTCCATCCACAACCCCTGTACTAATCTAAATATTGAACTTCACACTACTAAGGGAAAAATACGAATATACATTAAACGACTTTTATTTGTCATCTGAATGCATCAACTTTAGAAAACATAGTCCTCAGGGGAAACACAAGTATCGCACAACAGATTGTATGCCTTCATCTTTCACAGCTTGACTTCATCACGAAGAAAGAATTTTTGAGCAACTTTCGAGTTTTGCTAAAGTCAATTACTTACAAAAATTTGAAGTTAAACAAAGGATATTATTTTTGAAAAGTCAAGCTTAAGAAGATTTTAGCGGCTAGCTTTACGATGTCACTTTTCCCTAATTTATGAAATAAAACAGATCAAAAATTTTTCTGCAAGTAAAAAAAAAAAAAAAAAACAGAATGCACTTAAAAATAAAGTTAAAAATGCAATTAAAAATAAGGAAACAAAAACGATGAATGGATGGGAGAAATCATAAACGATAATGGCATACAAGATAAAGCATTTAAATGAATCAATAATTTTATATAATGAAATAGTCATTAACTAACGTAAATCTTTTTTTGCATTTAAAAAGCAAAAGAAAAATCTTCTAAAAACACTACGAAAGATTGTCCGTTATTTTCAGTCATATATTCGACGAAAAAGAAAAGACGAAGAAAAAGCAAAGAATGAAGTGAATTCATTAATTTTTTCACATTGGTCAATCATTTTAAATTCAGTAATTACAGCCCGTGAAATATAAATCAACGAATATTATTACTTCGATATACTGAAAACACAAATTATTTACAAATGTAATCAATAACTGCTTATTAACTCATAAACAATCTTGTTATTTTAATGAGTTATCTTAATAAAATGAAATATAGGTAACACCATGAACTGTTAAGTGATCCAGAAGACATTAGTGTGTAGGAACTAATGCTATAAAAAAAAAATGTTTAGTGTTATTTATGAATGACTACGTGTCTACGTGAACATGCCACGTACCATCAATCACGACTCAATTCATAACAAGTCGAACAACCGTCACGTTGCGTAATTTAGCTTGTATTTCCCTTGGCCAAAAATTTTACGCCTTACTATGCAATACACACGCAAGTACCACAACACGGAAGTCAGCTGTCACGTACCACTTTGACGTTCAATTTATACGGTCCGTGAAAATTTAACGTCGAAGTTTTTAGTTTATGGGATTGTCGTAGTTAAACGAAATTTAATTGATGTGTAAGGAGTTGAAATGACATGGAAGTGTGATAAAGTATGGTGACGATGAAGTATTGCTTGGGTAGTTGACAACTTGTTATTGTTTCAGTCAGGAAATCATTAAAATGACAAAGGAATTGCAACATTTGTTGGATGAATATCCCGTCTTTGAGTACGATGAAAGACAAAAAGTTTGTTAAATTTGTTCTTTTTTATAAATGTTACGTTTATTAGTTCAATGCCCGAACATAAGTTTATCGCATATTCAGATTATTTTATAAAAAGCTAGTGACTATGAGTAGAATTACTTTTGAAGTTCTTGAAAGATTGGTATGATATGTGTTTAATTTTATTTTTCATCCTGTATTGTCCTTTATATTATAAAAGCTAAATCATACATTCGTCAGTTATTTGCAGTTGCGGTGTACGTTAACGGGACATGAAATCCCTTCACGTTTTGAGCAACTTGATCATTATGTTAAAACATCAAAATTTGTTCGCGCATGGAAGATGCATCAAATCATGAAGGAATATGGTGAATATTTCGATGATATTGGGTATTTCTTTTTTTGCACATTTATAAGACGTAGTTTAAAAAATTAGAGTTAAGTCCAACCTTAAATTTAGTTGATTTTAGTTGATATCAAAGCGCATCAATCGAATTTGGGATTGGATTTAAGTCTAATTTCTTTTTACTCGTTATCTCCAAATGAAATATTAAAGCAAAACAATGACTTTAATGCTGATTATCTTGACGATGTAAAATCGCTTGTTATGGAGTATGTAATTGTTGAAATACAGAATTTAACTATAATTTCTTTCACTTTAGTCCTCGTGAATTCGGTTGCAAGATTACGATGAAGATCATTTCGAAGGATCCAGATGATCTCTTTAGACATGTTAATGGGAAAAAGTTCAAAAAAGGACTGGAAAAAGGTCAGTTTTGCAAGCATGACTTGAACTAAGTATTAATAAGTGTGGTCATTGATCAAACTGTCTTAAATTCTGAAGAACTGTACAATAAATGAAAATGAATTTTGGCAAGGCTTGAGTAGAATCAAAACTGTGCAAGGTACAAGCAGTTTCATCACCGTCATTATGGTGAAAGAACTTTGTTCCCCAAAAAATCAGTCATAACTGAATTTAAATTATATTACTGTCATTTATATGGAAATCATTTAAGTAAATGAGGTATATTTTGCAAATAATAAAGAAGTACAATGTCAAATAATAAAGAAGTACAGTGTCATGATCGAAAATCAATTTTCTTTTTATTGTATCAGGTTAAGTTTGCTTTCAAAAAGCATCAGTTTCTAATTCATGCATTTATCCATGCTATATAACTACTATTCTGTATATTTAGTTCGTATGAGAGTGTAATGAAAATAATTCATTTATCTTACTGGAACGAATTGACTAACAAAACAAGCAGGGTGATAGGCAGTGTGAATTGTGCTGCTTTGTCTGGTTTCATTAATCTGTTGGTTATATACTATTTTTCACACAGATGTAGAGAACAGCTGTTTGATTGCAAGCAATTTCCAATTTAGAATAAACCTTTTTTTTGACATCTCAATGTCAAGTGCCATTTCTTTTTCTCCCTTTCATTCTCTTTGTTACTGATTTTTTATACAAGTAAGGGGTGAATGGTAAGTTATGACCTTTCATTTGACCGAATAATAACCTTTATATGTTGCTAGTTTTTATACTGTTTACATTAAGGCAAATTTTGTTTATTCATCTTTCACAAAAAGTTGTTCTTTTCTTTTATTGCTCAAATTGTCGTCCACTTCTTCCATTCAAAATTGAAATTTGTTAGTTATATCATTATGCATATATTTTGGTTCTATTCAGAAATATTTCTTAATTCTACAAAGAATTATTTGTTCATCCTCTTTTTCACATATTCGTTCAAAATTCGTTTCTGCGGCAAAATGAAAAAAATTTTTTTTTAAACTATCATTTAGTTTCCTTATATTGATTCTTAACAGTCTAGCAAGGAAACAGCAAACCATGCTATTTTCCCTCAACTGAATCGATTTTTCGTCATTTTCTTCACCCCATGGTTGCTGAAAAGCTTACTAACGGAAGCATCTTTGAACTTTTTCATATGCTTTGACTACCTAAGTGAAGGTTGTTCTTTTCCATCTCTTACGAGAAATCGTTTTTTGTCTAGATGAGTGATTTCTAAGCCTTAAATAAATGCATCTGTCTTCAACAAAGAGAGATCATATACGAATATCACTTTTATTCTCCTACACTGTCTATTTCGCATGCATTTATTTGACAGATTTTATTTTCACACTTCAATAATGCTTTTCTTTCAAAAATAGTTTACGCGTGCTTATTACTTTAAGTTTTTGCGTAATACTAATGCAGTCATATTGACAACAACGATAATTATGGTCGGAAGAACAGCATTCATGATACATTTGATCACTATAATTAATATAGAAAAATGTATGATTTTAGTATAAGTGGATAACAATTTAGTTTTCTATATATATATATTTTTTTTAATAAAGTTTTTATAAGAAATCTTCGAAAAAAAAAGAATTTTTTAATTGTGAGTGGAGATGTTTGGAATGCCTAATGAGAAACATTTACATAAATAATTTTTCAACCGTAATCGAGGTAAAATATTGCAGCAATAAGATATATTTGAGTATATTGTCGGTTTTCTTTACTATTCTTCATCTCAGAAAATTTGACTTTAATTTTAGTTCATGCATTTTTACGCCGCAAAAATTCTATTTATTATCTTATGTATTCCTAACAGGGATTATCTAAATAGTTGATTATATGATTTACCAATAACTGCTTTTTCATCTCACGTGAATTGGCACGTGTGTTCGAATTTGTAGTTTCCATTTTTTTTTTTTTTTATTCATATAATTTTTACGAAGATAGAAATAGTGAAAAACGTCATATAATTCATGTTATTCCGTGGTAGTCACAGAATAGTATAAATTATATTTTTGAACAAGTCAGCTGAACAAACCAGCTGTTGTGCTGGTTAAGTATCACCAAGAAAATTAAATATATCTTCACTTTTGATCATTTATTATGCATGATGTGTGAGAATTGAAGTTCTGTTGAATTGTCTCGGCTCGAATCTTAACTAACAATGATCATACATAAGCCACATTCTCAGAGATCAAATAATCTTTTGTATTAAGAAATTTTGTTTTAACGAGTTATCTTTTATTATTTTCTCCTTATGGAGAGGAATATTTTTATTGATCTTTTCAGTAAATAATAATAAAAATAGGAAAGTTTATTCTTATCTGTTGAGGATAAATTCTCACCTTTTATAACTTATTTGTTTGTCTACTTATTCCTCATCTCTTATAACTTATTTGTTTGTCTATTATTCCTCATCTCTTATAACTTATTTGTTTGTCTACTTATTCCTCATCTCTTATAACTTGTTTGTCTACTTATCCCTCATCTCTTATAACTTATTTGTTTGTCTACTTTATCGTTGCTTTATTTCTTTATTAAGCAGTGAGTGATGTTATGTTCCGATTTGCTGAAATATTGGTCTTTTTTATCAGTCAAGAAATTAAATCAGTCTTAGGGTAACTCATCGGAAGAGGTCTTACTGATAATACGCTGATGTTAAGTCTGAATTTTCCTTGCACTGATACACCACATGCGCCACTTGCTGATGCATTCGAAGTGGATGATTTTTTATTGAACGATTGTTGCAATTTATCAGTTACTGATACTATTAATGGTAAGATTGAAAAGAAGTACTTTTTCTTAAAGTTTATTTTTTAAAAAAAAAGTGATAAATTGTGCTTTCAAATTTTTTCAGCAGCACTAACTGGAGGAAGCGAGTTGTCAGTTGGCAATGAAGATGAAGAAGAAATGGAGCAAGATGAGTTGGATATGTTTAATGAAGTGATCAATGATGATTCTTTTTCTGAGGATGAAAGTGGGTTGAATAAAGAGGACGAATATCCCGGTAATCGGATTTTAAAGAATTCGTGGTTTTTGATATTTCTAAAAATATTTCTAAAATAAGACATTAGTGTTCATTTTTCCAGAAGAAAAAGCTAGTTGGTATTACTTTTAAGATAATGTTATTGACTTAATTTTCATTTACAAAGCTTTTGAAGTTCCGTACTTTATAACAACAAGTATAATTCTGAGGAAGGAAATTGTTCTCTATTCTTTCAAAATTAATAGATTTTGTTAGCACATACATTAATCATTAAATCCCTGATAGTTTGGAAAATCGAAACTGTGCTGATTTTCGAAACTCGGCTTGAATTGTTTCTCCTAATTTAGAATCCTACATTAAAGTTTTTAAAAAAAAATTTAAAAATTTAAAAAAAAAATTTAAAAAAAGAAAAATTTAAAAAAAAAAATGTGATTTTCAATTCTTAAGGTTCCTTTTTCAGAATTGATAAAAACCTGTGGAGAATCAGCTGTTGAAAGTGAAAGTTATGATTTTACCGTGATGGACACTGAGAAGGACATGAACAGTGTTAATAGGAAAAGAAAGGTTTGATTTCATTTAACCATGCTTGAGTTCTTTTCAGAATTTTTCTTCAAAACAGTGCGTCCGTGGAAATGAATTCACCTTGTAGTTTAACAAAAAAGTGCTTAAATAGCTCTTGAAACTTAACGTTCGGGAAATGCATCTCGTATACACTCCTTATATTATTTTTATTCTCCTTTTTTTTTTCTTTATAGGCTGATAATTCGACAACACTCAAGAAAAAACGAGTGAAATGACACTCTCTCTCTTCTCTCTATGTTTTCTGAAGTAAAAAATTCAATTATCAAAGTGAGGTAGGAAATACATCTCAATGCCCATGACCGTACATTCTTGCTGATGTTTGTTTATTTTGTGAATTGACTTTATTAATCCAGAGAGTAACTCACCTAGTAAAAAAAGGTCGTTATTCATTTCACATCTTTTTGTTTCCTATATTTTTACTTTTTTGCATTTTGTTATAAATAATTTGTACTGCTGTGGTAATCTTCCACAACACATCACTGATTTAACTTACTAAGTAAATACAGGATTTAATTCCGAGGACTTTGAAGGGAAAGAGAGAAAAAGAAGATCTTCACTAAGAACAAGGTGGAAAGAAGAAATTCCTCAAATATCTTGTTCATAATGAAACTTTATATTCTTTTAACTTCCAGATTTCATGCTTCGCTTTCATAACTATCATTAGGATTATCACTGGCAGTTTGTCCAACCCACATAAATCTGGGAACATTATTTATTAAACAAGAAATTACACTCCATAGACAACTGAGAAATAGAAATCAAATCACGTCACGAAACAATTCGTTATAAATTACAAAGTCGATAACAACTAATAACGTACGCGCTGTTCCATTCGACGCCGATTTTGAAGATTTGAGTTCCAGCGATTTTTATTTGACGACTCCTAAAATTTTTTAATTTAGAATCATACGAAAAAAAAAACAGTTCATTTTTATCTTGTAAATTCTTCAACTAGAAATGTAAAATCTAATATCACTGATCATTTCGTAAAGTAAGTCCCGAGACAGTATCATACACATCATACCTGATAAGTCATGCGGTTAGGGCGTTGCTGTTGTTCCGTAGTTGTTCGTTCTTGACGCAGACCATACCATGCACCTGGACCTGTATAGCTACGGCCAGCTCGAGGTTCAAGGATCTATAACACATAACTGGAAATGTTTCAGACAGTGGAAATGCTTCAGTTTAGGAGAATTTTCTATACGCATACTTGTTCATTACTATCAGCAAGCTGAGTAAGTTTATCCGTCAGATGTAGAGCGAGGAGTTGCAGTCGACTTGGTTCGACACGATGCATAATAAGACAGTCAGTAGGCTCGTCTAAACTTGCACTCAATTCTTCCGAAATGATCATTTTGCTGAAATAATTTTCTGTTTCATATTTCATATATTTTCATCCTAATAAACTCAACAAGTCTGTAAATGTTAATGTGGGAAAATGGGAAATTAACTCTGAAGCGAAAATCCAAAACTCAGCCAAACTAAATCAAAGTAATAGCTGAGGAAAGTAAAGGAAAGAAATTCTTTTATCTAGAAAAAAAAAAATTAAAAGATTAAAAACAAACCTAATCACTGAATGTACGGTACTTTTATCAAGCTCAAACAGCTGAGAAAGTGTTTCCAAGGAAACAGTAGTATAAACTGTTGAGTACATCAATAAATAGGTGCGCAAGGATTCTTCCTGAATACGACGAATTACCATTTCCTTTACTTTTTCCGAATTACGGAAGAGATTCCATACCTGGAAATGAAGATTGATAGATTACATGTAGAAATAATAAAATGCGAAGCCCAGTACAGCTGCTTAAATAATCACAAATACCATATTCGTAATTCAAAACATAATTATAAACGAACCTTGGCATCCATTTTGTCGTTTACGATGAAATCGCGACACTTTTTCCAATCGCCATTTAACATAGCTCTCGACGCAGCTACCACATGCTCACGCGTATTCTCAGGCGGACCAATGAGGGAACTTTTCTCCGACTATATATAGTACAAAACGTGCATGTATAGATTAAATCCACTTCAATTCTTCAACAACAGTAAGTAAAAGAAGGCTTAATAACCTTACCTGCTTCAGTTGATAATGAAATGATCGTGATAACAAGCGTCGCCTTAGTTCATATTCCTGCGAAGCCATATGGGGTATCTCTAGCAGCATTGAGCATATTAAATAGACACATTCCATAAGTTCAACGTTAATATGCATGTGATAAGGAATTTGGCGTGCACGTTCCAATTTTTCCTGAACATTATACTATTGCAAATTTCAGTTATGAAAGAAACGGTGTCTTGTATTTAAAAATAAAAACAAAATAAAAAAAAGTAGATTTATGGGAAGTAAATCATTTTTAAAGGGAAAACCTGCTCAGCCGTTCTTTCTTGCTGTCTCATTGCAATTCCTTGTGCTAATAGTTCTTTCGCTCGTTGTGTATTCTGTATTTCGGAGAGACCCTGATGAGCTTCCTTGATAAAACTGTGTCGGAAAGCGCATAAACCAAGTTGGCATATGGTTCGATTATACAAAATCTTAAACGCATAAATATGACATCATAATGTACAACATTTCTAAAAATAATCTTGATACATTCAAGTGTAAAATACAGCTATATAGCTGAAAAGTGTGAAACCAATGGATTGATATGCTTACAGCTAAAAGGACTTAAAACAGCAATCTATGATGGCACCAACCTGAGTGCTAACATCCGAATGATCAACAATAGCTTGCAAATGTGACATAAGCATTAAATCTCGTGCTTGGTGCCATTTGTCATGTAATGCTAAATGATAAATTTGACAAAGCATTGCACGCTGTCGTAAACGTTTTGTATCATCACGCGTGTACACCTCTTTACAAAGCCGTTCCATTATTGATAACGATGACTCTTGCCCATGTTCCAACGAATCTTCTGCTTCGTACTAAAATATCAACATTTTATCATTCATCAATGAAGAGTACAAGATATTAAAACTGCTGCTAAAAAACGATCATGAGAATTCCGTAAACTAAGAATCGGAAAATTGCCGGTGGAATTCTAAACCAACAACAAATGTATAATAATTTGAGGCTAAACTTAGAGAATTATAAAATATAGCCGTAATGTTTGCCGGTAAATCAGAGGAACAAGAGAAAAAACAAGTGGTAGAAAAATAAATGAAAACTTTGCCTTGTAGTAGAGATGCTCAATGCGTAGCATATACAATTTACAAACTTCTTCTTCTAGAAATACATCTTTGTTCAATCTAGTATTCACATAGTCCATTAACTTATCGATGAGGCCACACAAATCTTTTTCACCTTTCAATCTAAAATTATATAAGATTAAGATTTTTTCTCTAAGAAAACTAAAAAGAGAAACGGTAATGAAAATATTTTCCTATTCCTGATGATATTTTTACAAGATATAGGGAGATGTCACTAAAAACAGGAAGATAGCCCATCCAGTACAATCAGTCTCGTAATAATAATTTACTGCATATTAAATCAAACTCAAAAAAAGTGTTCCCTAAACGCTTAAGTGATTTAACTACAAGTATGAATCCACAACAAAGTCGAAAATACCTCGAACTAATTGCAAGCACTAAAGTCATCACACTTAACTGCAGTTCATAAGAAATACTCAAATTTATGTATTTCACTAGGATCGACCTATTCATTACCTTTCTCACACTTTCATGAGGCCTAACGTGATGAATAGCTTAATGGGAAAAGTCAAGTAAACTTGTAGATTAGAAAAATTCAACGAAAACAAACTTTTCAATATAGTCAGTGCTATGGCAATCCGCATTTTGTAGTATCTTAGTCAATTCTGTATCTAAACGATGTACACTCATTAAGACAGAACCATGCACAGTATACGGTTTGGTTGCATCCTGTATGTTTTCATCATCTTCATTGATACCTATCGACAATACAATATCCGGATACTCGTTCAACATATCTATCAAACTATTGGTAGCTCCCAGTGTTCTGAAACAAATAATTTATTATAATTAAAATTCAAGAAGGGATTTTTCATATCAAAATATTTCGGAAAAACTTGTACTTGCTCCAAGAGGAATAATCCATACAGTCGCTGATTCGTGCATTCAGTTCGAAAAGAGCGGAGATGATTGAAAACAAAATTTTTACTAAAACACCAGCACCAAGTTTATGCTGAAATTTAATTGAATTCATGCTCAAAATATGTAATTGAGATTAACTGAAAATAAAAAATGCGGAAAAATAAAACGTGTAAAAACTTATCAGCAACAAACCTCATCAGCAATCCTGAATAATTCCTGCAAACTGCGTACATAATGCTTGGGATTGGTCGATTTACGTCCTCGAGCAGCAATAACTTCTTGCAGTTTATTTATAACAATCTTTAAAATTATTAATATTTGCCTATCAAGTTTGAAAAGCGCAAACATGGTCGAGAAATAAGGTAATTAAAAGTCTCACTTCATGGTTAATTTCAGTTTTGGGATCGAAAAGTTGACGCATTTTCTCTTCTTTTGTTGGCACAGCAACCCATGTATCATCATTTTCATTTTCCTCAATTTTCTCTTTCGCTTCGCGCTCCTTTTGTTCCTTTTGTTTTTGTGCTCTTTCCGCTTGACGTTTTTCTTTACCTTCAGTCTCACCACCTTCCTTGAATTCTTTTCTGCAAAACAATCATTTTAATTATTGTTTATGAGTATTCAGCTTGTTCACTCAAAAAACAAGTACTTCAAGAAAAATTTCCGCAAATCCTCCATTTGTTTCCCTTCAAGATCAAGGTCAGAATCACTGTCGGAAGAAGCATTTGAGTCAGAACTCCATTCATCTGAATCTCTGAGTTCACTGTGAGGTTTATTTTTCTCCACTTGTTCCTCATTTTCAGGTTCTTCCTGAAAAAATATTCAAATAATTCCCAAACATTTCAAAAATAAACTGTTTAAGTAAGACACAGAAATGAAAAGCAAAATGCTATATGCTACTTGTTCGTCTTCTTCGTCTTGGTTATCTGCACTTGAATAGCCCACCGGATCTGGCTCTGCTCTATAAGCATTGACTTCTATTTCCATATCCTAAAACATGGAAAACTCTAAATCGTCCTTGACAAATTAAGCTTGCTGAACAACATTTTTCAAGTTTTCGATGCTTTTCATACAGGAAACACTTACTTTATTATATTTACGAATTTTCTGACGCAGTGCAGTAAGACCCTTTGAGTTTGATTTCGAC